TGATTTTTATGTGATTGGATGACAAAATCTGTATGCATGGGCTTGCCTCCCTCTGGATTTAGCATAGCGAAATGGGTGTAAATACAGTCAGCGGCTGACATGATGCACCCATCACACAGAAAAAAGTTAGTTAATGCCTTAAAGGAGCTTGGGGGGGGGGGGCAAAAGATTTAAGGGTGGTGCTGGTTGGGGCGGGGGGGGGTGAAGAAAAACAGTGGGGATAAAGGAAAAAGAAGCAAGGCTACAGGGACTGAGAAAAATGAAGAGAGAGGGGAGTCTGAGGGCAGGGATGGGAAGGGTGGGGTTGGTGACAGACTTGCCTGAGCCTAAACTGGAATTAATCCAATAATCGCTTGGAAATGTTTTGCATATTTCTTCATTCTTCTCGTGTACATAACAGACTATCATCCCGTTCAGCTCCATGTGAGACCTGCAGACCTATGAAGGCAATCCTACACACAACCGCACATAAGAGACAAAAGAAAAACAGCACTGCTGTAGCGTTAGTACACGTGATCGCCAGACAGTCCGTCACAAATGTCAGCGCTGCTATAGGTTTCGTCACCAATTCAGCTGATTCGCCCTCTTCTAGACGTTAAAGCGCACACAATTCAAACATCCAAGAGCCTGAGAGTGAGTAAATTAAGTGCCAGCATTTGTAGCTGACAGGAAGAAGACTTATACTTGTAATGTAATCCGTTTCTCATCAGTTCCTTCTGTCTTTGTTTCTTTTTGATCTGCTCCTTTCAGTCACCACATGTTGAACACAGTATGATCTAGCGTGTTACCGCTCATCACGAACACATCTGGTTGGGCTTAAGCTTCACTCAGGCTCTTGCCTTTTGAAAATTGGCTCTGTAGCTGATTTGCAACTTCATCTTTAGGCTTTGCTACTTCTTTACCCCCAGTTTTTATGTCACCAAAAAGGAAATTTGTTTGCCAAACAATGACAAAGGTCATTTAATTGACTTTCCAGAAATCTTTTTTTCTGTAGTCTATGTCATTTCTTACATTTTAAAACCTTCTTGCAATTAATAGGATCAATTATGCTTAAAAAAATTGCCAAAACCTTGTTTTTTGTAAATGTTTTGTCTAATTAATGCATTGAATTTATGTTATCATCACCATTATAAAAGATCCATATTTAATTTAACCTGCCTTGCAATAGATTAATGCGTCTCTACATGTATCCAACACGTAAGACATGTCTGAGTGGTAGGGTGAGCACCTACCCTCAGTATTTCTGATCGCTGACCTCTTTGGAATTGTCTGTGTGTAATGTTTAATATGAATCATGATTATCTCAACACAAGGAGGGGATTTCTGTCCATTGGTTGTTTTAAAAGTAGAGTTTGCCGTTTGTTTGCAGAGGCAGTAGTTTTTCTTTTCTCTACCTTTTTGTTTGACTGTGTGTTTGATGGTAAAGGTTCCTGCTATTATGGTTGTTATGACTAAATACACTTAAAAAAATTCATTTGATATCCATCTACTTATGGTGTCTGATTACTGGGAGCGAAGAAGCTTTCCTGCTGTTATTGTGTAATGCTACTTCTCTTAATGCTGGAAGTAGAAAATAAACTTGACACATAAACTGTCTCTTTCTCTCACCAGCACCGGTTATGCCGTTCTGTTTAACCACACAGTATGTATTATGTCTGGACAGCACGAGCTTAACCAGTAATCACCAACAATTGGAATTGTTGGAATATTTCTGCGTTCACTGGTGTTTCAAAACACAGAATAAGTGTTCGTGCTAAGGGAAGCTAAGTGTTGCCTCCAGCTCCTTTCATATTGCAAAGATGACTCTTAGCAGTAATAGGAGTATGTTGCAAAACTCAATTAACACACACTTGAGGGCTTTAATTACAACAGAAGCTATGAGCTTTTTTTAACATGGAGAACATGAATGGACACCTCTAAAGCCGTGGCCAGTAACCACTGATGCTGTGGACCTTTTGCGTGCTTTCATCTTCGACTTCCTCACCTTCCAGTGTCACATCAAACATGCGAGACTGAAAGCTGGTGCTGAGTGCACACTTCAGCTTCTTGATTTTGTTACCGAGCATCTGAGGGGGGATGTCAGGCTGCAACGAAATCTATCTAAATTACATTCTAATGAGGCGGCTATAAACACTTCCAAAGCAGCAGGTGATAAGATATTCACTGCTATGACAGAGCATCTCTTCGTTAGCAGTAATTTCAGCGAATGTGCAGAAACAAAAAATGCAAAGAGTAGCACCTTGAAGTTGTAGTCCTTTAAGAAAATGCTATTACTGACATCTGGAGATTATGCGACACCGATGTCTGTGCTTCTAAGCAAGAGCTCTGCTTAACAGCTGCCTGGAGAATTAACTCACTATCCTGCAGTTCTGCAGTGCCACATTTTCTGGCTTTAACAGTGCTTGCACTTGTTGCCATTTTTGCTCCTATAATATGCACCCTGCTTGCCCAAGGGAAGCTTACCTTTCCCCCTTAATGTGAAAGACATAACTGAGTGGCAGTGTAGCTCCCAGCGTACACAGCAGGAGGAGGAAATAATATGAAGGCTAATTCAGAAGTCGAAAATCAAACGGATGGATTTAGGGGTCAAAAGGGCAACTGAGTGCAAATATTTAGTGGTGCTGATTAACAGCCAGGCTCGCTGGGGCATTGCAGAAGACTGGTCAATAACATCAGTAACATATGATTTAAAAACTCAACTCAAACCAGTACAAGTCACACACACTTGCCATGAGCAGGGAGAAGATTTTAAGTTAACTGCTACTGCCACTTGTGAGCTGAGCTGGAGCTTGGAATATGGATGGCCTACTCCTTGACTTGGGCTTGATTGAGGATTTCAAAGTCAAGAAACTTCAAAGCCTTGGCTGGGGAACGTTTAAACGAGCCACAGCCAGCTTTGAATCAGAAAGGAAGCGAGACTAACTACTTACAGTAAACTCTCCCACAGCTTGAAAAGAATGAGCGGGCTAACACTAGTGTAAATAAACACCACAGGGTTAGATCTGTGAAAGGAGGAATTTGGGTGACATGCTGGTGCAAAACTGTAGGAGGCAGCCAAAGTTTGGCAGCGCTCATCTGTAATGCAGACTGTGGACCTGCATTTTCACTGAATTCAAATAGATGGATTCAAAGCAATCACTGGTGCTGTGTTCACCTCAGAGACCTGATGAGATAGATTGTTGTTGCACATGAATGTTAACAATGTCTCCTGAAATGTATTCTTACGCCCAGCCTTTTTGCACAGTAGAGTGACACAAAGACCAAATGTGCTGTGAGGCCACAGAAATACATCCCTGTTTTTTTTTCTATGTGAAACGTCGCAGCATCCACCTACAGCACTGCACTTCAACTTCACCGACTCTTCTGCTGAGGTGTTCGTTTCTTTCTGAGTGCAGCGCAATTCAATTTATTTGACAAAAAATCAAATCATGGCAACACCCATGCACCCCTGGAATGAGTTTAAAGTATGGGCAAATACGTGCACAAAGTTACCTCTAGTCAAGTTATCTCTAACAGTCTACAGGCCAAATACATGAACCTGAATCGTTACTAAGAATTCAGCAAATTGAGTATCTGCAAATTAAATATTAACAAGTACTGGTTTCACTGCTTGATTCTGCTAATTTAGTGGTCTACCACCTTGATAATACATCCATCCATTTACTGCTTCTCATCTACGTCCAGGTCAAGGGAGCAGCCTAAGTAGGGAAGCCCAGAACTTCCTCTCACTAGCCACCTCTACCACATCATCCGGCAGAACCCCGAGGTGTTCCCAGGCCAGCCGAGAGATACGATCTTGGGTCTACCCCAGCACTTCCTCCCAGTAAGACATCCATGAGTCATCAGGTGCTCAAACTACTTTAGCTGGCTCCTTTTGCCTTAAAAATCCACTTTAATAAACATTTAACTTTTCAAGAAAAGTTGTTGAATTGATGTAGAATGCAAAATTGGTGTGTTGAGATACACTGAAATGTAGTGCCATGGAGCTCTGTGAATGTATACTGGACGTGTCCAACAAATATGAGAGTTGACAGGCTCCTCTCTGACACCAGGACATGCTAATCATTTATTGGCATACAAAATGCTTACTTTCTAAAGTTTTGGAGGCTGCAAGGTTTGCTTTATTTCGACCCCTCAACCTGTCAGTTTAATCTGCTCTGCGTCAGAAATTTAAGGTGTTATTATCCCACAGTACATAAATGTCCTGACATGGCTGTATGAGTGCAGACCAACCGTCTCCACTAAAGACACACCTAGTATGAGTTAGTCATAGGTTCATTAGTAAACAAATACAAGTTAGAAAAACAATTTCTCTTTAGAAAAGGATTCTAACACAAAAGACACACATATGTGCTCAATACAAACCCATGATAAAAGTTTTTAGGCCAGCTGAATGATGCTGACTCCTTTAGGCCTTTAGTGATGGAATTAGCTCCAGCTTGTGCCTTTCTCTGTTGTTTTTCACCCTGATTCAGCAGTCCCAGTCTTTACTCATGGCCTCTGAAAAAGCTCAGTGGCCACAGGGAATGCCAGCTCATCGACTATTATAATGACGGCCCTCCCTATTGGTCTCCTTCTCTCTCTGCCCTTCTCACCAGCACACTATTCCAATTGTCCCCCTCTCTCTCTCTCTTTCTCTCTCTCTCTATTTTTGATCTGTCTTTCAGCCCTTCTTGCGGAATAAAGGCTGTTCATGATGCAATGTTTATGGCAGTGAAAGTTCACAGTCAACAAAATTGCCCATTCCCAAGGCAAGAGTGACCGGATTAATGATTTTATTGTGTAGCAAACTGCAAACAAATGCATTATAATAAATGGTGCATGTTGTATGAGACATCTGTGTTCAGACGAGAACAGCTTTAGCAGTAAATCACAATGTTTTAGTCAAATTAGCTGCAGGTTGTGACTCACCGTACTCCACAAACACAGAAGTGACTAAAAAAACACAAAATCGGGGAAGTGCACTGAAATTGTTGGTGATGACCTTATTAAGGACTAACCTTGAGCTTGTCAAAACGTTCAGTGAGGGAGGACACCTGATGCTCTCTGTGGCGTCCCACGAGCTTGCAGAGGGCACAAATGAGCTGGTCATCCACCAAGCAGTACATGTTGACCTTCTCGTTCTCATGCTCCAGGCAGGTCAAGCCACGGATGTGGGTGTCTGGCACTGGCTCCACCAAGCGGTGGCTGGTGAAGGGCTTCTTGTTGGGGTGTGTCGCACGCAAGCAGCGGTCACAGTACGATACCTCACACGTGACGCAAGTCTTGACGGCCTCGCGTGGCGGATCCTGCTCACAGAACTGGCAGCTGATCCGTGGATCCATTTTAGCAACGACAGCTGGGCTGTGGTTAGCGTTGGTGTGGTTGATGTGATTGGTGTGGTTGGCGTGCTGGTGGGAGTGGCTGGAAGTGGCCGGGCTGCTACGAGCGCTGCCTCCACTTGTGCCACCGCCGCCGCCAATCGTTCCAGCTATTGTACCGCTAATGGTGGCGGTGTAGGGTCGCTGCGGCTGCAGGCGACGGCTCTCCGTGGGAGAATTGGGGCCGCTAAGGGAGGCCTTTTGAAAGCGGTCAATGATGTTCTGCAACGTCACATTGCGCTTAAGGCCCTCCAGGCCGCGGTGATTCAGCGTGATGACGTAACGACAGGTGGGACACTGAAAGGCAGAAATGGATTCGAGGGGCTTGCTGGTGGAGCAGTGAGACACCAGGATGCGGTGAGCACAGTTAAAGCACAGACTGTGGGCACACGGCAAGAGCAGAGGATCTTCAAACAACTCCAGGCAGATCGGGCAGGTCAGCTCAGACTCCAGTGTTTCCATCTTCAGTTGAACCAATCTAAAGGTGACATCAAATCCCACGGAAGCTGGCCAATTACCTATGTGAAGAATAAATGAAGATATTATCAGTTTAAAAGGCCTCTAATTAGGAATTATATTTCTTCTTGAGCAAGTGAAGGCAAGATAATTTTACTTCTAAAGCACAGACAATTAAAGCATTTTTTTTATTTAACAGGTCATAAAGAAATACACACAAGCACACATTCACCCATTTACCCTGAGCTAGCTGTGAGTGCCTTCATGCAAGTTTGACTGAACTGGACAGATTTAGCAAAAACATCACTATTACACACATTTCCATGTGCTGGTAATTATGACCTCCTCTCTTTGCACAACAACTCATTTCCCTCAGTGGAACCTTTGATGCGATTCCTCTCGCAGAGCTAAATAAAAAGAGAGAAGACAGGCAGAGGCTGACCGAATCAAAAGAACAGGTTAAAATTAATGGAGTGAACAGCAGAGAAAAGGAGAGACAGATGTCCGGCAGCAGAGGACAGAGAAACTTGTAGAAGGACTTTAACACCTTGACACTTTGTAGCTTTTATAGTAAGATCAGCTTGACTTATCAAGCAACAACTTCAAGGAAATTTGAACTTTTAGCGCATGATCGAAGCAGCAAACGGTGAAAACAGCTAAGCAAGAAAATTGATTTCAGATCCTCCT